AAGAGCTTTCTTTCTTAACTATGGCACTGTAAACCCTAAACCCTAAACCCTAAACCCTAAACCCTAAGAGAATCAAGAGCTTTCTTTCTTAACTATGGCACTGTAAACCCTAAACCCTAAACCCTAAACCCTAAGAGCTTTCTTTCTTAACTACGCCACTGCCAGGCCCTTAACCCGCAAAGAATTACAATCTATATATATATATATGTGTGTGTATATATATATATATATGTATATATATATATATATGCTTATATAATTATATATATATCTACATATCTATATCTACATATATATAAATATATATATATATATATGCATCTATATATATAATATATATATCTATTTATCATATATATAATTTAAAATATATATATATATATATATATTAAAGAATAGATTATTTGTTGCGTATATAGGTTGAGGAGGTGTTTATAATGAAGGACTCAGCTACAGGACAAGGACGGGGCTGTGCGTTTGTGAAGATGTCATCAAAAGAAGAAGCTTTTTATGCGATTAACTCTTTAAACGGCAAACATGTCTGGGAAGGATGCTCAAGACCGATGGAAGTGCGGTTCGCTGAGAGCAGAGCTCAGAGACAACAAATGCGTCAGTCTCCTCCTCCTGCTGCTGTTTGTGCTGCTGTTGCTTGTGCTGCTGCTGTTGTTGCTGTTTCTTGTGCTGCTGCTGTTGTTGCTGTTTCTTGTGCTGCTGCTGTTGTTGCTGTTGCTGTTTATGCTGCTATTACTGCTGCTGCTTGTGCTGCTGAGATAGGAGTAAGAATAATAGTATTTATATATTAGTTTGTATATTTTTATTTGTGATGATTGTACTTCAGTTAGCGCTTCAATGGGGATGAACGCAGGAGGTAGAGTAGGAGGTGCTGTAAATATGAGAGCAGGTTTAGGACCAGCAGGAGGAAGCATGATGAACATGCGTATGACGCCGGGTGTATCGGGAGCAGCAGCAGCAGCAGCAGGCAGCAGCAGCAACAGCAACCCTCGTGCTGCCGGCCCGTGGAAGGAGTACTTCTCTGCTGAAGGACGACCTTATTATCATAATGAATTAACAGGCATTACGACTTGGGAGCGGCCTGTTGAGTTCATGCAAGCACCTCCCCCTGTACCTCCTGCTGCAGCAGCAGGCTATGCTTCTCATATGAATTCTTTTGCTACGATGCAGCATACTGCGCAGCAGACACCAGCAGATGATGCTGCTGCAGGAGGAAGAGATCAAAGCGGTAAGATCCTCCTCTTCCTGCTGCTGTTGCTGCTGCTGCTGCTGTTGCTGCTGCTTTTGCTGCTGCTGCTGTTGCTGCTGTTGTCTTTGCAATATATACTACCTATTTATACATGTAGATAGTTTATTAGCTTAATACATATTTTACAATGAGTATTAATGCATTTATATGTATATATAATAGATATAAAGAATGTAATATATATTAATAAGACTGTATATATATGATAGATGCATATATATATATATATATAATAGATATAAAGAATGTAATGCTTATTAATGCACATATATATATATATATAAATTCATATATATATATATGTATATATTATAAATATATATATATTTAATATTATTTTTTTTTTGTTAATGCAGGTCCTCCCGGGTCGAACATTTTTGTGTTTCACGTGCCGAACGAGTGGAGCTCAGCGGACTTGTTAAATTCTTTCTCTCAGTTTGGTGTTATAATATCTGCTCGGGTTGCAATAGATAGACAGACAGGTCGAAACAAAGGCTACGGCTTTGTTTCGTACGACTCACCTGAAGCAGCAGCAGCAGCAGTTGCAGCTATGAACGGCTTCCTTGCTGGAGGTAAACGGCTTAAAGTTACTATTAAGAAAGGAGAAGAGCAGCATGCATTAAGAGCATCGCCTGGTGCTTTCAATGCACAATCCGGTCCAGGGTCTCTTGGTGCAGCACAGCAGCAAACTGCCGCAAGAGATCAGCAGTGGGGGACCCCTGCAGCAGGATATGCTGTACAGACTGCAGGGAGCAGCTATGCTCCTACAGGAGGCTTCCCTGCTGCAGGAGCTCCGCCGCAGCAGCAGCGCTTCGCACCCTACTGAAGCAGCACAACACAACAGCAGCAGCAACAGCAGCAGCAGCAGCAACAGCAGCAACAGCAATAGCAGCAGCAACATATAGGAGGTGGTGAGGTCTACGTACACCCAAAGCGACTATTTATTGCTGCATTGTCAGGTCGTACATGCATGCAAGAAGGGTTTAGGTTTGGGGTGTATGTGCAGCTGCTGCTTGGAGGGAAGAAGTAATAAAGAGAAGAGAACGACAGGAAGAAAGAGATTAATAATTATATTAAATTATGATTATTATTATTATTATATTTATATTATTATTATTATTATTATTATTATTATTATTATTATTATTATTATTATTATATTGAGCTGTATACGAAGAGGGCTCTCCTATTTTCTACTTCGTCTTCGCTGTCTTTGCAGTGATTAGACATGCGGGTGCTAGAATTCTGTCTCTGTATTATCGTCTTATTATTATTATTATATTATTATTATTATTAATTATTATTAATTATTATTATTATTATATTGCTCTGTTGCTGCAACTTAACGCTGCGTAGGGCGCTGGACTAAGGTGCTGCTGCCTGCTTGTTTGATGTCTTGTATGCGGGTTTGTTTATATTTTTATTATTTTTAGTTTAGTTTGTGTAGATAATTATGTGCAGTTTATTATTTATAATTATTCTTCTATTAGTGGATTCAGGTGTACGTACACCCTATCTATCTTCGTCTTAGGGAATACTGAGTGAGAGTCTTTTCTCAGTGCTCATTATTATATGCTTGTCTATTATTAGATATTTATTATTATTATTATTATTATCGGTACAGTCTTCTGTTGCTATATATTATCTATTATTACTATTATATTAGTATTATTATTGTTACTATATTATATTGGCTGGTTGTTGCTGTATTATTATTATTATTATTTACAATTACTAGTATTTAATATTATTCGTTATTATTATTATTATTTATTTATTTTTTAGTTTGTTGTTGGGGAGTGTACTGCCATTGCATTAGTTATTATACTCTTCTGTCGCTGTTGCGGTTTATGCATTTAAATTAATTAATTTCTTCTGTATACATCTTATTACTTTCTAGTGTACGGATGAACGGGAATAGATACGTTTGTTGCTGTTGCTGCTTCTTTCTGCTGCTATTGCTGGCTTCTTGTTGCTGTTGCTGCTGCTACGTCGTCTGTTCTGTTGCTGCTGTTGCTGCTGCTCTGTATATGCTGCGGTTGCTTCGTCTCTATTAATGCGGCTGCTACTGTTGCTGCTACTCTGGCAGTGTACTGCTTTAAACGGTATTATTATTATTATTGATATACGGCGCGGAACGTGCAACGAAAAGAAATATATATATATTCATATTTACGCGGTGCTTCTGCTACTGTCGTCTGCTGCAATATGTTTTATATTATTCTATAAAATATTATTATTATTATTATTATTATTATTATTATTATTATTATTATTATTATTATTATTATTATTTAATCTATTATCGGCATCGAATGTTTCTTCCTTCGTTTGCTGCGGTGTACATACACCTCTGATGGGCGGCCAATCGTTTGGAAGCTGTTGTTATTTATAATTTTTAGTTTTATATTATTATAATTAATTATATTTGTTATTATTATTAATTAATAATAACATGCTACTTCGTATAATTTTGTTACTGTTGAGCGGACGCGTCGATACATTGGGGTGTATAGGCAGCTGTCTTTTTTCGTCTTTCTTTCTGCTGCCCGTTTAAAGAGTTAAAATTATATTATTTAGTGATGCTTTTGTTTGCATCGCATGCGACGGAGTGCGAGAGACGGGTGGAAGATTGGGTGTACGTACACTGCAAAACTTCTTCAATTGAACAAATGCGCATGCAAGTGCTGTGAGGTGTATATACACCGCAGTTAAACAAAATTTTATTCTGCGACTTCTCGTGAGGTGTACGTACACCTGCATGGCGATATCTTCCTCTAAAAATATATACATATACATCTGCATCTACATATATATATATATGTATATATATGTATACATATATATAAATATATACATATACGTATGTATATATGTATATAAATATATATATACTCTACAAGAGCGTCTTCTTCTCGGTCGAGGTGTATGCACTGAGATTAAAGTTTATGAAGCGAAGACGAACAACTTTAAAATAACTATATACAGGTCTGCATATATTTGTCCTGTATTACCTGCTTAATCTATATATATATATATATATATATATATATATATATATATATATATATATA